CTCGCGGTCCGTGAGTTCGAGCCCCGCGTCGGGCTCTGTGCTGACCGCTCAGAGCCTGGAGCCTGTTTCAGATTCTGTGTCTCCCTCTCTCTGACCCTCCCCCGTTCATGCTCTGTCTCTCTCTGTCTCAAAGAGAAATAAAAACGTTAAAAAAAAAATTAAAAATAAAATAAAATAAAATCCATGATTGAATATGTAGTTTGGATGAGACTGAGTAGACGGTCTCTCAGTGCACATAACAAGTTACCATTTTTATTATGCTTCAGGATTTGCAAAGCACTTTATAGTCCGCGTTTGAGCTTTCAAATAACACCGTAGGGGCAGATGAGGCTGCTGATGTTCCAAAAGAGACGTGCCTTGCCCTCCATCACGGGGCTAATAAGTGGCAGCACTGGGAGTAAGACCCAGCACCCCTGACTTTGAATTTAGTTAGATTCTCAAGGCCATGTCTCCTGGAGGCTGAACCAGATTCTAGTGGGTTTATAGGAAGTAGTGATGTGTAGTGCAGGCTTCCACATGCTCTGTAGGGTTTCCCTTTACTCTGCCCCCCTCCCCGAGAATTCCCATTCTTTCCAAAGAGCGAGGGAGATCCCTTGGGCACAAAACTGTTAGAAAGTGCAGTGCGATAATAGGAGCCAGTCATCGTGCCTCTGTGTTTGACACTCTGTCACCTGCATCCTGGCCACCGAAAAGTGACTCTCGAGGCCTCTCTCCTACCTCTGGGCTAGGAAAGAATTGCCAAGCGGGGTCGGAAACTTGTGGACTATGACAGTGCCCGACACCACCTGGAGGCGTTGCAGAATGCCAAGAAGAAAGATGAGGCCAAGACTGCCAAGGTAAAAAACAAACAAAAAAAAACAAACAAAAAAAAACTGATAAAACCTTCCTGCCCTCCTGCTGGGCCAGGCTGGGTTTAAGAAACGATAAATCCAGCATCCAGCGTGTCCTGAAGGAAATCCTGTGTTCCCTGACACCAATGCTCTCAGGATAGTCAAACACTCATGGCTTGGGAGGGCACGGGTCTGGGGAAAGAGAGGCTCGGTTCCCAGGAAGTCCCTGAAAAGCCGCAGAGGATCAAGGAGGCACAGCGTCTCCAGCCTTAGACCCGGGACCGAGGGCAACGGCCCTGTCTGTTTCACCCCCTAGGCAGAGGAAGAGTTCAACAAAGCCCAGAGTGTGTTTGAAGACCTGAACCAGGAACTGCTGGAGGAACTGCCCGCTCTGTATCACAGGTAATGATTGACCTTCAGAAAAGGCCTGGACCCCCGGGGCCGCTGGAGGCCCGGGTTACCTGGCAACCCAAACGTGTCACCTGAGCTCTGGTGCAAGAGTGGGATGTGTAGCCTCAGCCCTGCCACTGCCTTGCTGGGTGACATTAGGCAAGCTGCCTTATCGCCCCAGACCCTGCTTACTTCACCGGCGGTACGGAGCTAACCATGCCTGCCCTGCCAGCTTTTCCAGTTTAAAGGCAAGCTGCTTCTTGGACAGGAGCGATCTTGGCAAGTAGATGGCCGTCATCACGCGAGCCAGGAGTATATGGTTCCGTGCCTCGGTGTGTACTGTCTTGGCTTGGCTCACGAACATCCAGCTCGTGGAGACGCTAAGCCACGGGATGATTATTTCTATTAATGATGTCTTTGCTTCACAGGAGGTAAACATGTTGTAGACGTAAATCTCCCACATTGGGAGGAGGCGTCTGAGTAGAAATTGTCTTTGTGTCCGACTTTTCATTGTACGAGATATGCTGTAATGGCAGCTGTAGTCGGTATTTTATATTGCCACTTAATATCAGTCTCTGTATGATGGAGCCTTTTTTTTTTTAATGTTTATTTATTTTTGAGACAGAGAGAGACAGAATATGAGCAGGGAAGGGGCAGAGAGAGAGGGAGACACAGAATGTGAAGCAGGCTCCAGGCTCCGAGCTGTCAGCACAGAGCCCGACGCGGGGCTCGAACTCACGGACCGCGAGATCATGACCTGAGCCGAAGTCGGCCGCTTAACCGACTGAGCCACCCAGGCGCCCCTGGTGGAGCCTTTTTAATCACTACACGTATTCTAAGACACCAGTTATGTGACTCCTAATTTAAATAGCGTTGCAATTTCATACAGTTTCTTTAAATGTAAATTTCCCCCATTCACTCACAGTAGAATTCTGCCAATGTGCCTTCAGCTTCGAAGCCCAGGTATTGCACAATGAGAAGAATAATTATTTATGATAATAATTATAATGGCATGTCCTTATATTTTTACAGCACTTTAAAAAGTCTTTAGAGGGGCGCCTGGGTGGCTCAGTCAGTTGGGCGGCCAACTTCAGCTCAGGTCATGATCTCGCGGTCCGTGAGTTCGAGCCCCGCATCGGGCTCTGTGCTGACAGCTCGGAGCCTAGAGCCTGTTTCAGATTCTGTGTCTCCCTCTCTCTGACCCTCCCCCGTTCATGCTCTGTCTGTCTCTGTCTCAAAAATAAATAAACGTTAAAAAAAAATTAAAATAAAAATAAAAAGTCTTTAGAGTACTTTCATATCTACGTTAGTACCTAAAGGGCCTGGATCAAGATAGCTTCACGCACCTAGAGGTCTCGTGTTTTGGCATCAGCTGGGCCGATAAGTGTCTCCCCTGACCTTCCCACTCTTCTGAGAGCCCAGTGTGCTGCTGGCCTCACCCTGACAAATCCAGATCACATCCTGAGTCTAGCGTGCAGGGTGCTTTTCTCTGAGGACTCTTTGTGTCCACTGGTGTTGGCTTAAGCTCCTCCCTTGTATCTCAAAGACTTCCTTTACCACCGCTTACCTGCATGTGGTCTTGTTTTTGTTTTTTGGCCCCTGATAGTCGTATTGGCTGTTACGTGACCATCTTCCAGAACATCTCCAACCTGAGGGATGTCTTCTACAGGGAGATGAGCAAGGTGAGAAACATCTTGGCGAATGTGGACAGCTAGGTGGGTCTTCCTAGGAAATGTGAAAGTAGCCCTAACTTACATAAGCTCATTAAATATTGATATTGGCAGCACGGGTTTTTACCTTTTTCTCATGAGGAGATAATAGCACTTGACTGACATTGTTGAACTGGGTTAAAGCACCTGTACACAACCTCAGAGGCCCCTCCCCATCTCCATTAACAACTGAATAATGGCAGCCAAACTTGAGCTTCAGATGAATAAAGGAGGCAGGCCTTTGGAAGGAATAGCTGACCTGGGGAACCAAGCTGTGAAATCTTTTATTTTTATTTATTTTATTTATTATTTTTTTTAACGTTTATTTATTTTTGAGAGAGAGAGAGAGCACGCGCACACAAGCAGGGGAAGGGCAGAGAGAGGGGGAGACACAGAATCGGAAGCAGGCTCCAGGCTCTGGGCTGTCAGCAGAGAGCCTGACGTGGGGCTCGAACCCACAGACCGTGAGATCATGACCTGAGCCGAAGTCGGACGCTCGACCGACTGAGCCACCCAGGCGCCCCAAGGAGGGCGGTGTTTAAACACAGGTCGGTTTCTCAGGTAGTTGGGCGTGAATGGAGAAGGCCAGTCCTGTGCAGTGACAGGCAGCCACACAACATGACCTCATGGGGTCTTTTCTAGTCCTGGGATTCCAAGACTGTTTGCTATTAACAACATTAACTGAATTCGTGCACACATCCACATGTTCCTGTCCGCAGTTTCTTGAGCTAAATTATGGTTTGCCTCGTTAATATTACAGTGGGTTTTTATTGCCTGGATTACCTGAGAGAAGCTAGAACCTCAAATCAAACGTCAGACATCAAGGACCCAGCCTTGAGGGAGGGAGCTGCCAGTCTGATGGAAGAGACAGAACTTAGGACACAGACAAGTCAAGGAAGAAGGGGTGGCGGGACAGGACCCTGGACCCTAGTGCAAAAGAGATGAGGAGGAGTTTTATAGTTAAGGGTGGGGAGGTTTTATCTGGGGAACTGTCTGAAAGGGAGAAGAGAAGGGATGTGCCAGTCTCAGGTTCCCTCTGGCTAGCAACCGTCTCTCTTGCTGGCTCTAGCTGAACCACAGTCTCTACGAGGTGATGAGCAAACTGGAGAAGCAACATTCCAACAAGGTCTTTGTGGTGAAGGGAGTATCAAGGTGAGCAACTTCTGAGACTCTTGGCTGCTTCCCTTGTCCTGTGAACACTCGCAGCACTCCCATTTCCATCCCCGGTCCTGGCCTTCCCTTCACGGTCATGTGCATGATGTTGGTTGTTACTTGTTTTTTGTAAAGAGTTTGGGCTTGGTTTTT